TTAATCCCTCACTATCTCAGAGATCCCCCTGGCTGTTACAGAAGCCCTTATTTTCACCTATTAGGAACTTCCATTTCCACTTCACAACAGATCTCCACCCCTGCTTCTCTGGGACCCCAATTCTGTTACATAACCCCCAATACCCACCTCAGCAACCCCCAGCTCAGCCTCACAGAAAGCCCACCCAGGTCTCCAGAGATCCTCCTGCCCCTCATTTGGATCCCTCATCACACACAGACCCCTCTCTAATCTTCCTTTATGTTCCATTGGCCTCTCATTAAGGGCTTACTATGTACCGAGTCCTGTAATAGCTCCAGGAATGCAGTGGTCCTTTGCCATGGAGTTAGGGGTAGGGGGAGCACACAGAGATTAAATCTTAAAAATTATTTAATTACAAGGTGGAATGTAGTTTTCAAAGAAGTACACCTGGGCCACGAGGAAGAGTTAGGAAGTAAGTGGGAGGGGGAGGGGAATGATGGAAGTGCCACCAATCATCATCTCTCCCATGAGTATGGCCATGTCCTCCTACAACTGGACTAGCATGAACTTGACTCTAAATTCTCATTGTTGTTGATTTTTTTAAATACTTCTTTTAGCCTCATCCAAAGCAATAATCACAAAAATTACAATTTTCTTTTTCTTATATTCATTAAATATATGACTCCTAAAATTTAAAAATTTCTGTTCAAAGTACTACGACCCTTGTAGAACACGGCTAGCCACTGTTCCTGATAAATTGCCTCAAAGACCCTCTGCCCAAAGGCCCATTTCTACCATAAGCTTTCCATCCTGCCCTGAACACCACTCCTTTTCCCCTCCACCAATAGTCTTCCATTTCCTCTTTCCCCTGGCACAGCTAGCTCTGAGCAAAAGTCCACCACAGAGAACCTGCTCATCTGCCACACTCCATGCCCTGCCCCCTTTACTGGGAACCTTGGAGACCCAGGGCCCACATCAAGTTCTACACCCCCCTTCCTGTTGCCTCTCTGGCAGGAGTAAGACCAGGGTTCCCTCCTCCCTGTTTTTCCTTTAACATCCCCCTTGATCCAGTGGTTCCAGAATCTCATTATCTCCCCAGCAAGAGTTTCTCGATATAACTGTTCTTTAATTTATTTTTTATTATTTAAGTAATGTATTAATACATACACATTCATTTAATTGACTTAGAAATATGTACTGAGGACCTATTGTGTGCTGGAAACTGTTCTAGATGCTGGCAGCATCTAGAGTCAGATAGAGTCAGATGGAGAAAAGGGGACAAAAAGGCAAAGCTTATTAGCTTTATTATCTTGGGCAAATGCAAAGTCTCTGAGGTCAAAATAAAGGAAGCTGAAGACTGTAAAGTGGCAACTGAGGATAATAAGTGAGATATGGATACAGGATGAGGATGGAGAGATGGAAAGGGCCACAGTGAGGGTCTCAGTTTTATTCAGAGAATGATGGATGAAAAGATTCCACCGACACAGACCTTGGAAGCTTTTCAGGTATAGATGGTCCCTGACCTGCAATGATTCAACTTACGATTTTTCAGTTTTACAATGGTTGTGAAACTGATATTCATTAGGTAGAAACAGTTTGAACTTTGAATTTCGATCTTTTCTTCTCTGTCATGATATTTAGGCAGCCCCCGGTCAACTGTGCAATCACAAGGGTAAACAACCAATACACTTAAAACCACTCTGTACCCAGACAACCATTTTGCTTTTCACTTTCATTGCCATATTCAATACATTACGTGAGACATTCAACACTTTATCATAAAACAGGCTTTGTGTTAGATGATTTTGCCCAACTGGAGACTCATGTAAGTGTTCTGAGCATGTTTAAGGTAGGCTAGGCTAAGCTGTGATGTTCAGGAGGTTAGGTGTATTAAATGCATTTTTGACTTGATATTTTTAACTTACGATGGGTTTATCTGGACAAAAGGAAGAGCTGTATTCCGATACATCCAGGTGCATATACACATGTTGATTTTTATTTGTTCTTCAGGACTTTGCACACTCTGTTTTTACTAAAACTCTGTTGGAGGTTCCCCTTATCTCTTCCTCCTCAAGAGGGAGCCCTCCGAGCAAGAGATGTTTTTCGTCCCTTTTGGTTGGAGCTCAGAGTTCAGCACAGAGGCAACCTGGGAAGTGTTGTTAACTGACTACTGACTGGTGAACAACTGAATGAGCTTTCAGGGATAGAGAATCCTACCTCCAGTGGGCTCACCAGTCAGGCTACCCCCTGCTCTGAACTTTCCACTTACCTCAGTCTCTTTCTCCACCAAAATCCATCAGTCCTGTGTCACATTCCCTTAGGGTCAGCAGGTTGGCATTAAACTGAATCCAATCACAGGTTAGAGACTCCTGGGGTAAGAAATGTAGTAATTCCAGGCATGGAGCCAAGCAGGGAGGAGAAGTTTGGAAACCTCCTGTGTCCCCCTCCACAACGAGTTCTCCAGCCACCCCAGAAAAATTTACTTCTCTATGGGAAGGGGAGGAATTACGAGCAGCTTAAACCAGACTCCTCTCTTGAGGGGAAGAAACAAGGACACAAAGCAATACTGGGCCGTGACATCTTGTTAGGTTCATTGGTATTGGCAGGAGGCAGCAAAGCATGACGGTTGTTATGGGGTGAATTGTGTCCCCTCAACATTCATGTGTTGTATGCTAATCCCTACATATTAGACTGTATTTGGAGATTGGATCTTTAAAGGGGTAATTAAGGTTAAATGAAGTCATAGTGAGGCGGGAAGCCCCATAAAAAGACTGGCAGGACCCCTAGGCAGGGCTGCTGCTCTCCTCCCACTAGCGTCGGGTTCCCTGGCCCAGAGGCTTTATCTCACTTTTTGCCTCCAAAGCGGCTAACTTACACCTAGAATTCTGTTGGTTCCCTGAGCTCACTTTCCTTCACTCCTGATTGGTTATTACTCTCACTCCTGATTAGCTATTACTCTCACTCCTGATTGGTTCATACTCTCACTCCTGATTAGCTATTACTCTCACTCTGATTGGTTAATATTCTCACTTCTGATTGGTCCACTTCTGTAACTTCTGATTGGTCCGTTTGTAGTACTTCTTTTGCATGGAGCTCACTCCTGATTAGTTCTACAAAGCTTGTTCCTGGTTGGTCAACTTCTGTTGTACTTTATTTGCATATGATGTTGCAAAGTGTAAAACTGGCAGCTTATAAAAGGCCTGTGTAAACCTACAGACAGGGTCCAGAGCTTGAAGTGTTAACTTCTTTGGGCCCACTGGTGTAATAAACCTGAGTTCTCCAACTCTGAGTGCTGCTTGGTCTCTCACCCAGATCTAGGTTGCTGTCACAACTGAGCTGTAACACATTTTTCTGCAACAATAGAGGTGGGCTCCAGTGTAATATGACTGGTGTCCTTATAAGGAGATTTTGACACACATGGACTGAGGAGTGACCATGTGAGGACTGTGAGAAGGCAACCAACTGCAAGCCAAGGATAGAGGCTTCAAAAGAAACCAAACCTACAGACACCTTGATCTTAGACTTCTAGAACCTGGAATTGTGAGAAGATTAATTTCTGTTGTGTAAGTCACCCACTGCATGGTACTTTCTTATGGACACCATGGCAAACAATACAGTGGTTACATAATGTCAACAATACATCATACATAAATGTCACCCAAACCATATTGCTTCAACAAGCATATGTTGGGCACTCAATAGGTACTAATTGCTGGGGTTACAGCAGAAAACAAGAGAGACAAGATTTCTGCCCTCATGGGATTTACAGTCAGGGGCAGTGGACAATGAATGGACATGTAGCAAATAAATAATTTCAAAAAGTGGAAAGTCCTATGAAGAAAATAAAAGAGGGTAATAAGTCAGAGTGGGCAGTGGTACTTTAGATGCAGTATCTTGGAAGACCTCTCTGAGGAGGTGGCGTTTGAGCTGAAACCTGAAGGTTGAGAAGGAGCCAGCCATGGGAAGAACCAGGTAGGGAAATAGGAAGTGCAAAGGTGCTGAGGCAGGAACACTCCTGGCACATTCAAGGAAAAGCAAGGAGACTAGTTTTGCTGGAGTGACTAAGCTCCAAGCTTAGTCTAACTTAGACTAAGTTTAGCTGGAGTGACTAAAGAGAAGTGACCAAGGGGGCAAGTGACAGGACGAGGAGAGGGTGGGAGTGTGAGGTTAGAGAGGGAAGCAAGGGCCCTATCATACAGAGTCTTCCCTTGTGGGCCATGGGAAGGAGTTTGGATTTTAAGAACAAAGGGAAGCCATTGAGGGTGTTGCCGAAAGATTGGCCCCCGTCCCTGATGAGCCAAACTGAAATTCGGAGACAGGGTCTTAGAGTATAGGAAAAAAGACAGCTTTATTGCTTTGCCAAGCAAAGGGGACTCACATCAGGCTAGTGCCTTCAAAACTGTGAACCCATCTTGTGGGTGGGGTAGGGTGATTATATAGCCATAGCTTAAACAATAAAGCATCGATAAAAAGCAACAGAATTTTTTTTAAAGTAATAGCTTCATTTTAACAATGGGCCTGGAGCTGTGAACAGCAACCAGTCAGTCAGGTTGGTTTCCCACTTTAGGAACAAGCAGAAGAATAAGCAATCTGTTAGCCTAATTCTAATTAGCCCATTTTATTAATTCTCCTTCAAGGGTGCCAAGTCATTTATGCTCTGAGAAGATCGCTTTTGATCGAGGTTAACCAATCAGAACTGTCATATGTAAACAGGAGGCCTAGCTTCTCCCAGTGTCACCATCCTAACTCTACGGAGGGCAAATTCTCTTTCAGGAAACTTCCTTCCAAGCTCACAATGACACACCTTCCAAGCCTGACAAATTGAGGCGTGTGTTTCTAAACTTCTTTAGGTCCCGTTGGGTGGAGCCCACTGTGATTGGTTACAAGCTTTCCCCTTTTTTCCAATCAGACTGCTATTCGGGAGAGTGCTCGGTCCCATTCCCCTGGTGAGATGAGTGAGCCCTGTGATTAGCCCTCCGGTATGAGTGACAGCAGACATATCCTATGGGCGCAAAGACGGGGGGTGGGATAGACTGTCCAGCGCTGCTGGCTGTCCGGAAGGATCCGGGGCTGTCAGCTCGCGTCTTGCTCTGTGCCTGCCACCCCGCCGCGCGCACCATGGCCGCCCCTCCGCAGCTGCAGACTCTTTTGCTTGCGGTCAACGCACTGTTGCGCAAACGCCGCTACCACGCTGTGTTGGCTATGCTTAAGGGCTTCCGGAACGGGGCAGTGTGAGTGGGGCCGGGAGACTGGGCAGGGGCTGAAGGATCGGTCTGGCTGGGGTCGGAGAAGCGGGTTCTGGGCCCAGCACCGGCACGCTGTGCGCCCCAGAGCAGCCCTAGTGTATCTCCAGGTCTCGATGACCACCGTGGGCGTAACGGGCTCTGGCTTTTGGGTTCTGAGCGCCTTCTGAGCTGGGGCTCCCACTATGCTGTTTCTGGGTCCTCTGTGATTTGCAACCTGGCCCTCTTGCGTTGACAATTTCCCATGCCAGCCCCTATATCCCCTCTTTTGGGCTCAGCTTCCCCACCTCCATGTGCCCTCGGGCTTGTCTGGCTACAGAGGCCCCGTGTACACAAGTGAGAAGCCAGACTCTGGCCTTTAGCAGGTCGGAGGAGGCGCCTTCCTATGCTCCTCCTATTAAGTTGCCGGTCAGTTCACATCTACTTCTCACTCCTCATCTGTATGACTCTAGAACTAAGTCCTCATCTGGCACAGGGGACTCCTGGGACATAGGCCTGAGGCCGACACAAATGTAAATGTTTGCTGGGCAAATTGATTCCTCCATGACCATTAGACCTGCAGAAGAGGAAATCTTGGGGTCATTTACCCTGGCTGGTGCCTGGAGAGGAGCTCAGCTTCCTTTAAGCTTCATATATAAAGGCTGTCATTTATTGAGAGCCTACTGTGCCAGAACTGGGGACACAGTAGAGGATAAACCCAACAAAGATCTGCATCCTCCTGGAGTTTCCATTTTAGAGGTAGCATGGCAAAATGGTGAGGATGTGACCGCCTTGGTTTGAATCCTGATGCCACCTACCCCTGTGATCTTGAGCAAGTCATGTAGCCTCTCCAAGCTTCAGTTTCTGTAAAACGGGGCCGATGATAGTACTTATATTGTCAGAGGACTGAGTCAATATATGTGAAAAGCTTAGCACAGAGCCTGGTGTGTAATAACTATTGGCTGCTGTTATTGTTATATTCACGTGGACATCTGCTTGGCTCACTCCCTCACTGCCTCAATGAGACCCTTCCTGACCTTCCCACCTCCTTCCCTACTTAATTTTTCTCCATAGTTCTTGTCACCATCTGATACTAAGCAGTTCACTTAGGTATCCTGTTTTTCTACTCTGTCTCTCTCATTAGAAAATGAGCTTCATTGGGACAGAATTTTTATCTATTTTGTTCCTTGGTGTTTTCCAAGTATCTGGTACATAGTAGGCTCTCAAATATTAATCACATGAATGATTAAGTGTGCAAGGTAGGAGTTGCCATTGTTCCCATTTTATTGGATGAGAAGACTGGCTTAGAGAGGAAAACACATTGCTCATGATCACATTACTTAGTCAGGGGTTGGAGCTAGGATTCAAACCAAAGGATGCCCAGCACCAGGCTCTTGGCTTCCATGGGCACCCAGAGGCATGTAGAAGTTGGTTCCCGCTGGGTCTGGCCAGATCATATCAGTCAAGCTTTGGTGTGACCAGGGTGGAGTGGACCCTGAGATAAGATCAGTGGCTCGTGCTCATCTGTAAGGACTTGGGGTCAAAGTGGGGAGACTGATCATTAGATTACCATGGCAATACCAGGTGATCAGGAATGCTTTACAGAGGAGGTGATGGTGGTATTTTGAAGGCTGAGTTGGACTTTGCTAGGGGGAGAAGGGCATCCCAGGCAGAGGGAATGGTTTGAACAAAGGCCTGGAGGTGGAAAAGAATGTGCTCTTTGTCAAGAGAGTCCAACCATGCAGGGCGAATGACTGAGGCATATGAACTTTGTAAAATTTAACTCACTTTGATATTCTGCCTAAATATTATCAATGTGCATCTCTAAAAATAAGAGCATTTTCCTGTATGGCTAAATTATCATGATTACATGTAATAAATTAATCCTATAATGTTGACTGCTATCCAGTCCATAGACAGATTGTCCCAGTTGTCCCCCAGATGTCCTTTTTAGTGAGTTTGTCCAGACCAGGTCCTCCAGGACATCACACTGCACCTGTCATGTCCTTTAAATCCTTTTTAATCCAGGGCACCCCTTTTTTCAGGACATGGAGTAATCTTGTGAGTGTTAGTAACTGGCTTCCACCTGAGTCTGAGGATTCTGGGAAGGGGGCCTAGTGGATGTAGGGAGTTGGGGGCATGGTTCCACTTGTGTTGGGGTATAAGGAAGGGGCCTTTTAGCCCTTGCCAGCTGGAGGGGACTGAGGGCCTCTTTGACTTTGGAGGAGATGGGACAGAGCTGGCTGGGGCCAGGATGAGGGTTCTGTACAGTGCTAGGCTGCGAAAAAATAAGCCATTCAGCATGACCACTGCCATGATACCCCTAGCTTTCACTTGTTAACATTTTAAATTTAATTTATTTTTTTAAATTAGGTAACATATTTACAAAAGGTATAAAAAGTTAGATGCTGTAAAGTCCTGCCCACCCCATCCTTCCGTCAGTCAGTCCCCTCCCTGGAGGTGACCCTGTGTCCCGTCTCTTACGTCTCCAGAAATATTGTCTGCATATACAAATACATATATTCATCCCCTACACCTTTAAAGCCTTTTATTTTAAAATAACTTTAGGTTTATAGACAAGTTACCTCATTTTATACAATTATGCGCTTTACACACCTTGCTCTAATAGAGCACAGAGCACTCATAGAGCCACCTCGTCCTTTTACAGCTGTGTACTGTCCCACAGAACCGTGAGTCCATTATTTATGTACCCAGCAGCCCCCTGTGGATGGACACAGGTTTGAGCCCAGTCTTTTGCTGTTTCCAACAAACCTCACAGATACTTATATGACAACAATATGTGGCTATGACCATTGTCTCAAGGAGGTTGTCAAAGATTTTTCAACCTTGTAGCCTAGTAAGATCAGGGCCAGACAGCTGGAGAAGGAAGAGTCTTATATGAAGAACAGGAAAGGCAGAGACACTAATATTGGTTGAACTGGGAACTTTTGCATGTGCTACGTCCTTAACTGCCAGAAGCAACCCTGAAATGGAGAAGACTTTTTACTGTTGGGAGAAGGGAGGCTCAGAGAAGTTAAATGATTTATCCAAGTTTATACAGCAAAACATGGAAGGGCTTTGGCACCAAATAGTATTTCCTTTGTACAACCCACTTCAAACCCAGATCTAACTTGAAAGCCAGCATTATTTTCCCTCCCAAAATGATGTTAGGGTTAGGGGTGGAGAGAGGGCACAGGGAGTCTAAGAGAGAGCTCAGAAAGAAACTGTGGTGCAGGGGTGCTGTAATAACTGTTTTCTTTTGTTTCTGCAGCTATGGAGCCAAAATCCGGGCCCCTCACGCACTGGTCATGACCTTTCTCTTCCGGAGTGGCAGGTACCCATCCCCTCGGCACACCCCTCAAACTAGGAGAGAGTGTGGTCAGCTCTCAGTGCCAGGACTGTTGCGGTAGCTTCCTACCTGAGTCTAGCCTGTCCTCACTACCACCTCCTACAGCCCAAGTCTGATTCTGTTATTCCTGCTTGAAAACGCCCCTGCCCTTGCTGTCCTCCAAAGAAGCCCAGCTTCCAGGTGTGGCCCTCAAGGCCCTCTGTGGCCTGACCTCAGCTGTGTCTCCCCCTCCTCACCCACGTCCGTCCTGGGGAGCCCTAGGCACACACAACTTGCTGCCGCCCATTCATATGCCGCGTGCGGTTCCACCCCCAGATGTTTCTCGTGCAGTACCCCCGCCAGGAGTGCCCTTTCCTCTTCCACCTACCTTTCTTTCCTTCCTGGCAACCCATGCTGTTCTCTCAGGATCACTTTCTCAGGAAAACCGTCCACGACCTCCTGCCATTGCTCAAATTTCTTGGCCTTCCTCTGGTCTCCCAGAACTTCCCTGGAGGCTCCTCTTGGAAATCGCCTTGTGGTTGAGTTTTTAAATGTATGTAGCCTCACCTGGAACTTGTAAGAATTACACCTGGACAGCCTTCTGCTCAAATCCAGCTTGCAAGATTGTTTTCTTTATGCATTTTTCCTTTTAAAGTTTATTTTTGTTTTAGTTTTTGCCCCCTAAATCATTTTTTTAAATGAAACTCATTCATCCAGTCAGTAACTATTTACTGAGTGTCTACTATGTGCCAGACAAACTGTTTTAGTGAACAAAACAAAATGATCACTGCCCTTGTAGCACTTGCATTCTAGCAGGGGGTGGCAGAAAATAAACACAATAAATAAGGAAGGTATGTGATATGTTAGAAGATTGTATGGGCTGTGGGAGAAAAAAATTAGAGCAGGGAAAGAGAGAAAGTGAATCCAGGGTACTGGAGGAGGAGCAGGGTACAGAATTAAATAGATAGTGACATTCAAGTAAAGACTTGTAGGAGATGGAAGAGTTGGCCAAGTGGTATCAGGGAAGAGAATATTTTAGGCCAAGGGAACAGCCAGTGCAAAGGCCCTGAGTTGGGACTGTGCCTGGTGAGTTTGGGGAGGCTGGAGCAGAGGGATTGCAGGGGAGAAAACAGAGAGGAAGTTCACATGGGTGACCTGGGTTCATCCTGTTCAGCTTTAGGCCATAGAGAGGAGTTTAACTTTTCCTTTAAGTTAAACAAGAAATTGTTAGAAGAATTCGCGCAGGGACATGCCACTATTTGACTTAACTTTTAATAGCATGAAAGTGAAGAGTTTGTGGCCAGATTAAGAACAGATAGGGGCAGGGTCAAGGGCAGAAGTAGGTGTAAATTAGGGGCTGTGGCAATAATCCAGGTGAGCAACTCTGGTGGCTCAGACCTTGAAGGTAGCAGTGGAGGTGAGAGGTGTTCAGATTCTGGAAACATTTCATAGGCAGTATTTGTGCCAATACTTAAAAACTGGAAAATCTGGCTTTCTTGCCTTAGAGTTGGCAACTGGGCCCGTGTTGAGCCTTGAGGGCACTTGTGTTTGCTGTCCCTCATTTGATCTTCCACAGTACACTCTGCTCCTCTCTCGGAGTCTCCTGACTGCCTCCTAGTGATTTTTAAAAGACAGATAAAATCATCTGCCCTACTTAAATGTTTACTTCTCTCCGGATAAAGACAAAACTTAGCACAGCCTCTCCCCCACAGCCTTTGCCCCACACATTTTCTGCTCAGGCCTTCACGGTTTCTCTCTGTTCCTTTACTCCCCATTCTCTGTCCCTCCTCAGGACCTTTGCACATGCTGATCCCGCTGCCTAGGATTCAGTTCCTCTTTCCACTTGACCTCTTCAACTCTTCATCCTTCACATCCCAGGATCATCTCTTGTCAAAGTCAAAGTTTGACCTTTGTTTTGTGGTTATTCATTTCATATTTCCCTCTCCCATTAAATCATGAACCTCATGAGGGCAGCAAGCAGATCTTTTTTTCTCAGAATTGTATCCCTAGATCCAGCACATAGTATGTACTCACTCACTCATTCATTTCTTCACATGTTCACTCCCCACCCCAAATTTACTGAGCATCTACTATGTGCCAGGCCCTGTTCTGGGCCCTGAGGATGAACAAGCCAGATATAGACACCACTTTCTGGTAGCTTCCACTGGGATGGGGTGGGAGTTGTGGGGAGATAATAAACAAGCATATAAATGTCAGGTGGTGGTAAGAGCTATGAAGTAAATGAAAAGGAGGATAAGGGAATGGAATATGATGGACATTCTTTTATATAGGGTGGTCAAGGAAGACCTCTTGGAGAAGGTGGCTTGGAATCAAGGCCTGAATCAAGTGAGGGAGCAGCCCTGAGGACAGGGAGGGGAGAGGCCCGGGGTTGAATGAGCATCTGCCCACGAGCTCCTTGCCTGTGTCAGTTTTGCGTGCCCAGTGGGTAGAAGCCCTGGGAGCGGCTGGGCCTGCACTCACGGTGGCTGCCTGTGTTTGTGCAGCCTCCAGGAGAAGCTGCGCGCCATCCTACAGGCCACGTACACCCACTCCCGGAACCTGGCCAGCTTTGTGTTCACCTACAAGGGACTTTGTGCCCTGCAGTCCCACCTGCAGGGGGAGACCTACCAGGTGCACTCATTCCTGGCTGCCTTCATCGGGGGCTTGCTGGTATTTGGAAACAACAGTACCATCAACAGCCAGGTAAAGATCCTCCCCCGGGGTGGGGGTTGTGGGAAGGTGTGGGGAGTGGGACGGGGTTCAGATGTAGAGTTGGGGGTGAGGGTCAAAGAAATGAGCTCTTGGCTCCCTTCCATGTCCGAAGGTCTGCGATGCACCAGTGCCTGGGTGACCTTGGAAAGATCACTTCCCCCTCACTTTCCCCATCTGTTAACCAAGCACCTTGTCAGAATTCCATGGTTGCCAAAATCCATGTGTGCTGCTCCCTGGGGGCAAAGATTTAAAAAACCGAACAACCACTCTTCAGTGAAGTAAGGAAAAAAGAATGACCCTGGAGTAAGATTTTCATAAAGCAAAACCTAGTACCTTCAAAGAATTACCTCTTTTTCTGGGTTAAATTCTATTTTTTTAATGAAATGATAGTGAAACTAAATGCTAATTGTTGCTGCTGTTACTGTTTTAATGTCCTTCTTGGGTAATGTAAAAAGTTGGCAGCCTTTCTAGTTTGCCTCCCTCGAACTTCTTAAATATTCTTAAATTATAAAAATAATGTTTTGGAGGGAGGGCATAGTTCAGTGGTAGAACACATGCTTAGCATGCTTGAGGTCCTGGATTCATTCCCCAGTACCTCCTAAAAAAATAAATAAATGAATAAAGCTAATTACCTCCTCCCAAACAAATAAAATAAAATTTAAAAAATTTTAAATAATGTTTTATTTTCATGTTTTAAATCATGCAGACAAAAAAGAAAAAAATTTTACAACTAGTAAAATTTTAAAATAAATAAATAAAAATGCAGAGTAAGCACCCACTATGTGCCTGGCACACTTTCAGATGCTTGAGATATACCTTGATAGAATTAGAAATTAAATTGAAAAGAAAGTCCCTGTTCCCCTCTAACTGTTAAGCTGCTGTCCAGAAGCAGTCACTTTACCTGAGTCTTGTGTAGCTTTGCAGAACTTGTCTGTGCTCGCATCAGTCTACACAGTAGGAATTTTCCACCAAGGAGATCATACTACACTTTTTTTTTTTCCTGTAACAGCGTATCTCGGAGACCTTTCTTGTCATCCCTCATCCTTTATAACATCAGCAGAAATCTGTGCTGACAGAATGGGCCAGCCTTGATCTCAGTCTCCTCTGGATGGACATTTAGGGGACATCTAGCCTTTTGCCATTACACACACGCTGCAGTCTACATCTTTGTTCAGACGTCTTCCTGCACGTGCGTCAGTCTGTCCATAAGTTCCTAGAGATGGAATTGTGGAGTCTGTGGATATGAGCATTTCGTTTTTTGGGAAAGTTTCTGCAGGTTTGCTTTTTTGATAGAAGTTTCACTGGTCTGTGAACTTCCCAAGTCTAGGAATCCTGGTCACACGCATCACCCTCCTGCTCCCCTCCTTTCCCTGACCGCTGGCAACAACTGCTCTGACCTCCATTTTGAAAATGTTGTCATTTAAAAAATGTTATAGAAATGGAGTCATTATAGTATGTAACCTTTGAGGATTGGCTTTTTTCACTCAGCATAATTCCCTGGCCATTCATCCAAGTTACTGTGTGTATCAGCTGTTCATCACTTTTCATTACTGAGTAGTGCTCCATGTGTGGATGTACCTGTTGAAAGACATCTGGGTTGTTGCCAGCCTTTGGCTATTAGAAATGCAGCTGTTAAGAACATTCTTCTACATATTTTTGGTGAAGATAAGTTTTCACTTCTTGGATAAATACCCAGGAACACAATTGCTAAGTCACATGGTACGTGCTTATTTAGTTTTCCTGCCCGGCTGTTATCCAGAGTGACAATACTATTTTACATTCCTGTCAGGAATATACGTGTGATCCAGTTTCTCCACATCCTAGCTGGCATTTAGTTTATTATGTTTCAAACTTTAGACGTTTTGCTAGGCACATAGTGCTATCTCATTGTGGTTTTAATTTGCATTTCCCTGATGGCCAGTGATGTTGAACCATTTTACATGTGTCTATTTTCCTTCAGTGTAATCCTCTTCAGTGAAATATCTGTTTATGTCTTTTACCCATTTTCTAACTGGATTGTTTCTTTTTTCACTGTTGAGCTTTGAGAGTTTTTTAAAATATATGTATATTCCAGATACTAATCTCTGTCAGATATGTGTTTGTAAATATTTTCTCCCAGTCTTTAGCTTTTCTTCTCAACCTCTTCATATGGGCTTTCACAACCAAAATTTTTTGAGTTTTGATGAGATCCAGTTTATTGATTTTTTTTGTTATACGGATTGTGTTTTTCGGTGTCGAGCTACCTTTTAGTTTTGAACTGTGTAGATTTATTCATTTTTAAAATTGTTACTGAAGAGAGGGGAGGGCATAGCTCAGTGGTAGAGCTCGTGCTTAGCATGCACAAGGTCCTGGGGTCAATCCCCAGTGCCTGTTATAAACAAACAAACAAACAAATAAATAACCTAACCCTCTCCCCTGCCAAACAAAACAAAAAAAGTTTAATGATAAAGAATAATAAATTAAAGGCATAAATAGTAGTATTAATCACCTTGTACACCATCTTTGGAGAACACTGATCAGTGCACAGGCAGTGCCCCGGGCATGGGGGTGGGCAGAAGGTTCCCAGTGGCTGTGCCCACCTGTAATCCCCCGTCCTTCCCTCCCTGCAGATCAACATGTACCTGATGTCACGCATCCTGTTTGCCCTGTGCCGCCTGGGCGTGGAGAAGGGCTACATCCCTGAGCCCAGGTGGGAACCATCCCGGTTGTTCAACGGGCTGGTGTGGGGGCTGGTGCTGTGGCTCTTCGAGTACCACCGGCCCACGCTGCAGCCCTCGCTGCAGTCCTCCATGACCTACCTGTATGAGGACAGCAACGTGTGGCACGACATCTCAGACTTCCTCATCTACAACAAGAGCCGCCCCTCCAAGTAACGCAGCCCCCAGGTGCTCATGGAGACCCCCACACCCGAGTTGGCGCTGGATGGTGTCCAGCCGTGCCTTGAGATTGGCTCCATCAGCAAATCATCCCAGAGGAGCCTGCCTTTTCTAGATCTGGCATCTCAGACTCTAACTTTTATTAGCCCAGGGTTCCTTTTGCCAAAGCAAAAGCACTGATTTTCAGATCCCATTAGGTACTCTTGACTGGTGGAACACAGCAGAATCGGGCTGAGGAGCCTTGGGTGTGATGATAGCTGGGCTGCTGATTGTGTGAGACCAGGGAAAGTCACACCCCAGCCTGGGCCTCGGGGGTCATCCAGCTCAGAGGAGGGCACTGCCATCTCTTCTGGTGGGTATGTTCTTTGACTGTTCTTATGTAACAGAGGGGCTCCTGGCTGGTGGGCAGTGGGTTGCAAATGTGTTCTTAGAAACTACTCAGTTCCTTGTCTTAGATGTTCTGTTAGAAAAGCTCTAGACTTTACACTGTCCAGTTGAAACACAATGTGAGTCGTATATGTGACTGAAATATTTTTGTGGCCACATTTTTTAAAAAGTGGAAAGAGGCAGGTGAGATTAAGTTGAATTTTATCTTTTAACCTAATTTTTCTAAAATATCATTTCAACATGTAATAAATATAAAAATTAATGAGATTTTTACGTTCTCTTTTTCTTGTACTAGGTCATCCAACTCAGGTGTGTGTTTTACACTTACAGCGTTTCTCAGTTTGGATCAGCTACATTTCAAGTGCTCAGTAGCCACGTGTGGCTAGTGGCTACAGTAGTGGACCACACAGATATACAACACTATATCCTCACAGAAAATTCTAGTGGACAGTGCAGATATAGAGCCAGAGGACATGGGTGTGAGTCCCCACTCCACCACTGTGTAACCTTGGGGAAGGTTCTTAACCTCTTAGAGCCTCAGTTTTTAGTAAAGTGAGGATAATCGTAATAGTACGTGGTGTCCACACTGGACTTGTGTAACTACGACAGCTGCTTGTGCTACTAATTACTTTCATATAGTGAGTTCTTACTCCTCCTGGGTGCTTTGCACAAAATATTTTTAATCCATACAGTGACTTTGCAGGTATGTGTTTTGATCCCCATTTCACAGATGTGGAAACTGAGGATCAGAGAGGAGAAGTAACTTGCCCAAGGTAACATAGCTAGAGTGATAGCCAAATGCGGGTTTGAACTGAGATCTATGTGATTTCAAAGTTCATGTTTTTTTTTTCAGTGCCTTACTTTAAATTTAGAAAGCTAAGTTATGCTATGCAAATGTTAGCTAGTTATAGGGGTGCAAACTCAAATGCCTACAGGGACCTGGCAAGTGGCATAAATGATAATGTTCTGGGTGCTATGTGGTAGGGAGTGATGGAGATGTGGTGAACTGGAGACTTGTGTGTCAGACTGATTGTTTAAAACCACCAAGCTGGACAAATCAATCCAGTCTCCAGGGGATTTGGTCCACAGACCACCAATTTGAGACCCTTGGTCTAGTAGGAATACTTCAATCTCTTTTTGTATTTTGGAAGTTACTAGTAGAAATATCCACATGAGTCACTGGAGATCTTATTAAAATGCAAATTCTGATTCAATGGATTTGGGGTAGGGCCTGAGATTCTGCATTTCTCACAGGCTCCCGGATGCTGCTGCTGCTGCTGTTCTGAGCTACACCTTGAGTAACAAGGCCATAGGGATGATACAGGGCTAGCGTGTATCCCATGTGACAAATGAGAAAACTAAGTCACAGAGCTATTAGGTCATCGAAATGGGATTTGGTCTGATTCTAACTGCTGTGTTTTGAGCCACCATGTTGTACTGTAAGCTTGGAGGGGGTGATCTTGAAGGTCCCTTAGTTCAGTCTGTGGAGGCTGAATGAGGTCCCAAGGTAATTGGGAAGGGGGAGGGGGTCCATCAGCACGTGGGTTTTATAGCAGCCGCTGGGGTGCCCCACCCACATCCTGTCTACCTTACCCTTTCAGTGCACACCAGCCTCCCAACTGCCTCCCTGTGTCTTTCCGCCTAAGGGCTCCTCACTTGCTCTTGGCACCTGCTTTGCCAGCCTGCACCAGACCTGCAGTGCTGGAGGATGAACACATTCTGGGAGCAGCCCTCAACCAGAGACATGAGTAGCTCCACTCCTGCACCCCTCACCAAGCTGTCACTGGCACCCAGAGCACCCCTCTGGAAGCCCTCAGGCAGGACTGAGCTCTAGTTGCCCACAGTGGTCACTTACTTGATAACACCTCCTCCCCTGTCTCCCTTCCTCATGCCCCTGATAGTGCTTCCTGGGACCATTTCCCACTCAAAACCTTGTCTTGGGGTCTGCTATTGTGGGAATCCAAACTAAAATTGGCCTCTGGTACAGCGGGTTGAGAGGCAGCATAATATGGTGGTCAAGGACATAGGCTTTGGAGCCAGAGTGTCCGGGTTCAGCCCTGGCCCCATTGTTTCTTTGGGAAAGTGACTTAACCATCCTGTGCCTCTGTTTTGTCATCTGTAAAATAGGCATTTTAATAGCACACACCTCATGGGTTGCCTGGAGAATTAAATGATACGATGCCTTTAAAGTAAGCACTCGGTAAATGTTTGCTGTTACTTCCAATATGTCATCTGAATGTAAAAGGAGGCATGGTCCTGAGAACTGCGTACACCCTGCTTTTAGCTTGTCCAACCCCCCCCCCCAGCTGAAGGTAAAGCCTTGGCTGCCTGCCCTCCTGACATCCCCCCACTGCTGCTGGGGGTGGGCCGTTTCCACCACCGACTGTCTCTGCTCTCTAAGAATAGGTTCCCCTCACAGATGGCATCTCTCTGGATCCTGCCAAAGCATCTGGTGCCTCCAACTGCTCACTCCAGGGAGGAAGGCGGTGTGGTCCTCATGGAGGAGCAGAGCTCCAGCTCCTGGAAGGGGTCCCCACTCAGCTCCTTCCCCGCCAAGCCTCCATTTCTGTAAGATCTGGAAAATGGGGATTGCCAGAGGGCCCTTGGCACACAGTAGGCACTCCGTAAATGCTAGTTCCTAAAACAGCACAGTGTTTTAACATGTACTTATTAAGCACCTGCTATATTCCTGTGAGGTCTTCTGACATGCAGGACTGTAAACAAAAAGTATTTCATCAGTAATACACATACATAGTCAAAACTTAAATGGTACAGAAGGTGTATGACAGAAAGTGTATGTCAGGTTCCCCCCACACCCCAGTTCCACCCACCTCCCCCCAGCCCCAGCCAGGGGCACTCATTGTCAGCACTTTCTAGTGCAGCCACCTAGCTCTGTCTTAGAAGAAACTTTTACACTTCACTGTCATCTCAAGAACTCTTTGACATGTCCTCCTTGTCCTCTGCATGTTTGGTTTCTCCTTGATTAATAATCTGATACGAAAGTGAGTCCTTTCTTTGAGCCGGTTCCCCCCAACACACACCTCCACTCCATCCCCAAATATCTCAGGCAGGTCCTTACTGTGATCAGCGTGAAGACGAAACACCCTAGATGTCCTGAGCCTTATCGTAGATGATGCTAGACACTCAGGCCCGCAGAGTGAAAGGGGAAGGACACAACTGGAGTTAATCTGGAACCTTTTTGCTGCTCCGCTTCCAAATTAGAGGTCGTTCAGGAACCCATGTGAGAGCGATGATTCACAGGCTAAGGCGCCAAGAAGACGCCTCTGTGATGCTCACGGCTCCCGCCTTCCACATCGCAGCTCCAGAAAGGATCCTGGAGATGGCGTGTCTGCCTGCATTGTTCACTTCTCCCACTCTCGTGAGTGTGTTTTGGGTTTATAAAAATCCGGCTTTAAACCTGACACCCGCCTAAACCAGCACATTGTGCTGTGCTCCGCCTCCTGGAGCCAACAGCCCGTGACTTCGGATGGGTTGCTTTCTGTGACGAATTACAGGGTATTTATAAAACGGTATTTTTTTCCCCTCCCCTTGTCTTGTTCCAGATTTGTAGGGATAGAATGTGTCTTCTTTCGGCCTTGAAAAACATCTTGGGTGAGAGGGTTTTAATTTTAACCAGAGGTCTCCTGCAAGACTCTTTCGAGCTGGAGGCCACATGGGCCCTGCTCAAAGACAGAGGGACAGCTGGGCTCTTCTGAGTATTGTTCTTAGAGAGGGCGCCCTGCTTTCTGTTACATGTCTCTGCTCACAAGCTCACAGACAAGATTGGAGCAGGCAGAACTGAGATGCAGGTCGTGGGCTCTCTGTCGGAAACCTTGTTCGCCCTGCTCTTCCTGGCTCCCCCTTCAGCTCTTCTCTTGGGCTGGACATCAGCTGAGAGAGGGCTCCAGGCCAGACCACATCAGCAATTTTAATACACTCCTTTTTAGGGTGTCTTTTTTGTGTGTGTCGTGAACCCTTTTGGCATCTGGAGAAGCCTATGGACGCTTCTCAGAATGCTGTTTTTAAAACCCAGAAAATAAAATAGGATTACAAAAGACAACAATTATATTCAATATGAAATCATTATCAAAATATTTTTAAAACCTGTGATTTAGCAGTGTATGTTCTTTTTAAATTTATTTTATTTTTATTTT